AACTTAATGTTTGATTAGTAATATGCATTGCTAAGAACTTCATTTGAACAACTTTAAAGATGATTTTCTCAATATTTAGATTCTTTTGCACCCTCAGATTCCAGATTTTCAATCCTATAGAAATATGCTCGTAAAAAGATCAAATGTTTAGTCTTTCAGCCTCAAAAAAACACATCAGCAAACTCATAAACACGGAAAACGAATGAAACAAGTCAAATTAATTATACAGTGCTTTTCATAAAACATGAAAACATCTTTACAGATATGCATAATGCTTGTGATACTACTGTAATGCCTTAAAGTCTGTGCCAGATTCGTGATGCACAAAAGTAGTAAGTGTAGCCTAAGTTACTAGTTTGACCAGTTTGACCAGTTTGAGGTTTCTGGGCAGCAGATCACACTCACAACATTTACAGTTTCATCTCTTTAACATCAATTATTATTTGCACACATTCAACTCGACCAATCAGAGACCGCTTCCGCGCCGCCACGCCCCGCCCCTCCCGAGACCCCGCCCCCTTGTCCTATTAGTTGTCGTTCAGTTCGTGTCGTTTAATGAATTATTAACAGCTTTTTGATCATGCAACGCATTCAGCGTTTCTCTGGACACTAATACAGCATGTCAGCAGTCTCCAGACCAGCGAAAGAAGAGAAAGCTGCGAGGATTAAAGTAGGAGCTCAAGACAAACATGATGTTAAAGGACGAGGTGAACCGCGCGAGACTCATGAAGTTTGCTTCCGCCGTGTTCTACGCCTTCTGCTCGTTTTTTATCATCGTGGTCAATAAGAGTATATTAACCGAGCACAAGTGAGTGTCAGCTTCTCGCATCAGAATAACAGCACGTGCTTTAAATCATAATTACAGTGCGTGTTGCTTTAATAGGTTTCCCTCGTTTATGTTCCTCGGAATCGGACAGGTGAGAAACATGCTCGAGCTTTAATGTTTTAAAATCCGATGCAAACGCACGAGACTCACTGATATCACTTTGTTTGTTTGTTCATAGATGACAGCTACAATCATCATCCTGTATGTTGCCAAGATGAACAAAGCCATCCATTTTCAGGACTTTGACAAAAGCATTCCTGGGAAGGTAATTTATTCTGTGCATGTGTAATCGCATTGTCATGCTTGCTTATTGTGTTTCTGTACTGTAGATATTTCCCCTGCCACTGCTGTATGTGGGGAACCACGTGACAGGACTGGGAGGAACTCAGAAGCTCAGGTGGATGAATAGAAATGCATAGAGTTTAGCATGAAGACAGACTCTTGTGAAGCTGCTGCCTTGTGTTTTTCAGCTTGCCCATGTTCACTGTGCTCAGAAAATTCACCATTTTACTCACAATGCTGATGGAATCCAGGATACTGAGGTATATATGCTCTGCTAGGGATTATGCTTAAAGCTACAATGCCACTTTTATGTGAAAATGTAAATAATGAGCAAGTACACCATAACCCCCCACCCTTTTATATTTATTTTGGCCTTACCTTAAACCCTTAAGCTTTTAATGCTGTGCCCATATGGCGAAAATATACCTTCATATACCAATATATATATTTCAGAGGCAAGAAAATACAGTTATAACCTTATAGTGTTATTCACTATTTTTATTCAGTTGTGTTGCATGTTCACACGTGTTATAGATATATTTAAAAATATAAAAAAAAAATATGCAAAAAAATGTTGGTAGGGAAACCTTTATGTAAATATATTTGAAAGCAAATTTTATTTATAATCTTTTTTTGAAAATATTTTTTAGAATTTTAAATATTAATATTAATTAAAAAAATATATGTGTGTGTGTGTGTGTGTATTTCCGGTAGGAGATTTACTAAATATCTTCATGGAACATGATCTTTACTTAATATCCTAATGATTTTTGGCATAAAAGAAAAATTTATAATTTTGACCCATATTGTATGACCCAACCCGTATTGTTGGCTATTGCTACAAATATACCGGCGCTACTTATGACTGCTTTTGTGCTGCAGGGACACATATGCATGTGTGTGTGTGCGCGTATGGGCAGGACAGATTTCCCAGGAAACTGCATATTTTCATAATTAATCTGTGCGTGTGTGTCATATCCGTAAATAAAGACAGTCAGGCTGCTGCTAGATGACGTGGATGTAGCTTGAAAACACAACAAATGAAGCTCGAACCGGAAAGAGTTTGCATTTGGCACGCAACAGTACGCGTAATAAAACACGAACCAACATAAGTTTGCGCAGCATTTGCAAACATGAACATTGATAACCGCCAATCTCTGAAACGCTTCCTTCTTTGCCCTGTCCTTGCTTTTATACAATGAAATAGCCATGCAACGTTATAGTTCCCACCGTTATCGTTATCATTCATTATGTCTAAAGTCAGCCATTTAAAATAAAACCCTGCTCAGAAAGACGTTTTTCAGATATCCGTCTTTCTTCGGTTATTAGAGTTTTAATGTCGCAGAGCTCACGTGTGCCTCCGCAAGCAACTTGTAGTTTTACGTTTTAACTGCTAGAAGGCCAAAAGTGCCGCATGATGATAAGACTGTGTTTCTATCTTCAGGAAAAGCTTCGCTCCGCCGCTGGTGTGCAGTGTTTTGGCGATAGTCGTGGGCGCTCTGGTGGCAGCCAGGTACATGAACACAGATCATTCATGATAATATGATATATATATATAGACACAGGTGTGTTTATTAACTCTGACCCGACTGCTTCAGCTCGGACCTGTCCTTCAATGCAGAAGGATACACGTTTGTTCTGCTAAACGACGTCTTCACGGCCGCCAGTGGAGTTTACACCAAGAAGAAACTGGGGATGGAGGTACATGACAGCAGGAGTTATCAGTGATGAAAATAACTGATGATAACTTCTTTGCCACGTGCATCATATCTCCCGCGGCAGGCTGTTAGATATCAATGCGACTAGGTGTTATCAAATGCACTTGGAAGTCATTAGGTGTACAGCTTTGTGATGAAACACAGATCTGCAGTCGTATGCAAACCTTACACCAAGAAGAAACTGGGGATGGAGGTACATGACAGCAGGAGTTATCAGTGATGAAAATAACTGATGATAACTTCTTTGCCACGTGCATCATATCTCCCGCGGCAGGCTGTTAGATATCAATGCGACTAGGTGTTATCAAATGCACTTGGAAGTCATTAGGTGTACAGCTTTGTGATGAAACACAGATCTGCAGTCGTATGCAAACATGTGAACTTGCCTTCGTTGTCTGTTGTTTCAGGGTCTTGGTAAATATGGGGTTTTGTTTTATAACGCTTTTATCATTATTATCCCAACGGTCCTGGCGAGCGCTTACACCGGAGATTTAGAGAAGGTGAGCGAGAACATCGAGATGAAGAAAATGAATTTCAACTTCTTTAAAACATATCTCATATGTTCTTCTTATTTTAAGGCGCTAACCTTTGAAGGATGGATGTCTGTTACGTTCGTATTTTATTTTTTATTGTCTTGTGTCATGGGGTGAGTCCAACTCATTAACTTTTTTTGTATTTTATTATTATAAAATATATGGTTCTTATATATATATATATATATATATATAATATGTATGTC